TAGTTTAGTTCTAGTTTAGTTCTAGTTCTAGTTCTAGTTCAGTTCTAGTTCAGTTCTAGTTCTAGTTCAGTTTAGTTCTAGTTTAGTTCTAGTTTAGTTCTAGTTTAGTTCAGTTCTAGTTCAGTTCTAGTTCAGTTCTAGTTCAGTTCTAGTTCAGTTCTAGTTCAGTTCTAGTTCAGTTCTAGTTCAGTTCTAGTTCAGTTCTAGTTCAGTTCTAGTTCAGTTCTAGTTCAGTTCTAGTTCAGTTCTAGTTCAGTTCTAGTTCAGTTCTAGTTCAGTTCTAGTTCAGTTCTAGTTCTAGTTCAGTTCAGTTCTAGTTCAGTTCTAGTTCAGTTCTAGTTCAGTTCTAGTTCAGTTCTAGTTCAGTTCTAGTTCAGTTCTAGTTCAGTTCTAGTTCAGTTCTAGTTCAGTTCTAGTTCAGTTCTAGTTCAGTTCTAGTTCAGTTCTAGTCAGTTCTAGTTCAGTTCTAGTTCAGTTCTAGTTCAGTTCTAGTTCAGTTCTAGTTCAGTTCTAGTTCAGTTCTAGTTCAGTTCTAGTTCAGTTCTAGTTCAGTTCTAGTTCAGTTCTAGTTCAGTTCTAGTTCAGTTCTAGTTCAGTTCTAGTTCAGTTCTAGTTCAGTTCTAGTTCAGTTCTAGTTCAGTTCTAGTTCAGTTCTAGTTCAGTTCTAGTTCAGTTCTAGTTCAGTTCTAGTTCAGTTCTAGTTCAGTTCTAGTTCAGTTCTAGTTCAGTTCTAGTTCAGCTCAAGTTTAGTTTTAAAAAAATTGCCAGCATTCCCGAAATAACTCTATATGTACTCATACATAGAAAATCATTAACTACAAAAGCCAAATATCGTATTTTGGATCCGCATATTGATGTTATACGATATTCAATCTGTGGTTTTGAAATAAGATTTTAAAAACAAATTTTATTATATTTTTGTTGTTGTTGAAATGTGCTAACAAAATAAAATAACTTCAAATATAAAATGGATAGCAAATTGAGCTTTAACACAGTATAACAAAATGTTATTTTCCTATGAATTTAAAATTTATATATATTTTTGTTAAAAATAAATGTTTTATAAAATGAATTCTAACCAATAATTGTTAGCTAGTGTAGCATTACTCTAAAAACTAATTCCCTTATGAACGAGTAAATGTACTCCAACAGGAAACGGAAATAAAAACAACTATTGCAAATAAAATATTATATTTGCTGTAATACTATCCTTCACACGGGTGCATTTATACACATACATACATACATGCTACTTTTTTAGAGTAGTAAAAAAGACATTTAACTATTTTGAAACCATTATTTAAATTTTAACTTTATTTGAATTTGAAATTAAACCAAAACAACAAAATCAAGTACAAATTTCAATTTTCCCAGTTAATCGAATTGTTAAAATTGTATGCTGAAAGTTAAAATAAAAACCACAAAAAACATCACTACGTATGTATGTATATGTACGTATGTTCTGTAGAAAACCACAACGTTTTACTTCATTTTTTTTGGATTTAGAACCAACATTTATCTTAAGTTCTTTTTATGCAACAGAACGAGTGGGAAAAATCTACCAAAAATATAATCATGAATGATGTACGAAGTAATACTATAGTTTCTACTACAACTAGTTGCTATATGCATATATACATATGTATGTATTTGCCTTAGCTAGTTTGTAAGGTATGTATATTCTCGTTGACAAATCACATGTAACTTTTAAAATATAGAAAACTGGGCTATTATACTGTTCTGGTTCAGATTATAGACTATATTCCAGACTATAGACAATATTATAGCCCATACTATAGCTTAGAATATAAACCAGAATATAAACCATAGTCCAGATACAGATTAGGTATAGTACAGTCTAGACTATAGAATAACTATAATTCAGATTATAGACTAGATTAGATTTAAGACTAACGACAATGCTATATGCTAGATGCTATTGACTAGAATATAGACCAGACTGTAGACTAGCCAATTGTCCAAACTATGTACAGAACTATAGCCCAGATTATAGACCTGACTAAATTCCACACCGTAAACTAGACTATAGTCCATACTATAGATTAAACTACAGGCTTTGGATGAACTAGAACTGAACTAGAAATGACTAGAACTGAACTAGAACTGAACTAGAACTGAACTAGAACTGAACTAGAACTGAACTAGAACTGAACTAGAACTGAACTAGAACTGAACTAGAACTGAACTAGAACTGAACTAGAACTGAACTAGAACTGAACTAGAAGTGAACTAGAACTGAACTAGAACTGAACTAGAACTGAACTAGAACTGAACTAGAACTGAACTAGAACTGAACTAGAACTGAACTAGAACTGAACAAGAACTGAACTAGAACTGAACTAGAACTGAACTAGAACTGAACTAGAACTGAACTAGAACTGAACTAGAACTGAACTAGAACTGAACTAGAACTGAACTAGAACTGAACTAGAACTGAACTAGAACTGAACTAGAACTGAACTAGAACTGAACTAGAATGAACTACTAGAACTGAACTAGAACTGAACTAGAACTGAACTAGAACTGAACTAGAACTGAACTAGAACTGAACTAAACTAGAACTGAACGAACTGAACTAGAACTGAACTAGAACTGAGCTAGAACTGAACTAGAACTGAACTAGAACTGAACTAGAACTGAACTGAACTGAACGAACTGAACTAGAACGAACTAGAACTGAACTAGAACTGAACTAGAACTGAACTAGAACTGAACTAGAACTGAACTAGAACTGAACTAGAACTGAACTAGAACTGAACTAGAACTGAACTAGAACTGAACTAGAACTGAACTAGAACTGAACTAGAACTGAACTAGAACTGAACTAGAACTGAACTAGAACTGAACTAGAACTGAACTAGAACTGAACTAGAAATGAACTAGAACTGAACTAGACCTGAACTAGAACTGAACTAGAACTGAACTAGAACTGAACTAGAACTGAACTAGAACTGAACTAGAACTGAACTACAACTGAACTAGAACTGAACTACAACTGAACTAGAACTGAACTAGAACTGAACTAGAACTGAACTAGAACTGAACTAGAACTGAACTAGACTGAACTGAACTGAACTAGACTGAACTAGAACTGAACTAGAACTGAACTAGAACTGAACTAGAACTGAACTAGAACTGAACTAGAACTGAACTAGAACTGAACTAGAACTGAACTACAACTGAACTAGAACTGAACTACAACTGAACTACAACTGAACTACAACTGAACTAGAACTGAACTAGAACTGAACTAGAACTGAACTAGAACTGAACTAGAACTGAACTAGAACTGAACTAGAACTGAACTAGAACTGAACTAGAACTGAACTCGAACTGAACTAGAACTGAACTAGAACTGAACTAGAACTGAACTAGAACTGAACTAGAACTGAACTAGAAACTGAACTAGAACTGAACTAGAACTGAACTAGAACTGAACTGAACTAGAACTGAACTAGAACTGAACTAGAACTGAACTAGAACTGAACTAACTGAACTAGAACTGAACTAGAACTGAACTAGAACTGAACTAGAACTGAACTAGAACTGAACTAGAACTGAACTAGAACTGAACTAGAACTGAACTAGAACTGAACTAGAACTGAACTAGAACTGAACTAGAACTGAACTAGAACTGAACTAGAACTGAACTAGAACTGAACTAGAACTGAACTAGAACTGAACTAGAACTGAACTAGAACTGAACTAGAACTGAACTAGAACTGAACTAGAACTGAACTAGAACTGAACTAAACTGAACTAGAACTGAACTAGATCTGAACTAGAACTGAACTGAACTAGAACTGAACTAAAACTGAACTAAAACTGAACTAGAACTGAACTAGAACTGAACTAGAACTGAACTAGAACTAGAACTGAACTAAAACTGAACTAGAACTGAACTAGAACTGAACTAGAACTGAACTAGAACTGAACTAGAACTGAACTAGAACTGAACTAGAACTGAACTAGAACTGAACTAGAACTGAACTAGAACTGAACTAGAACTGAATTAGTATAAAAGTAGAATTGCTTAATAGAGCACATCTATGTTTCTTTAGCAAACTGAAGCATTTTAAATCCTATTGTTCATATTTAATTTTTTGGAAGAATCGTATGCAGAACGTGTTGAGCCCCAGTTGCTTATATAATGTATATGCAGGCGTTTCTAGGACTTCTAGGCATTAGTTGGTAGTTTAGTATTATTTCTTCTACATCTTTTATGTTTTTGATGATGCATCTCAAATTGTGTAGCATCATTTCAATGTAAGAATTTTAAGGATTTCGTGGTAAAATGCTTTCAACTTGGATTTTATTTAAAAGGAGCAAAAGTAGTTTACAAAAAAAAAAAAAAAAAAAAAACTAGGAATTTAAGTACAACAATATATACTTATAAACAACCGTATTAGGGGGAAAGGAAACCAAAATTTGACAAAAAATAGGTTAGATTGTTTGAGGTGAGAGAGAAAGGGCTGTGAGAAAAGTGTCATAAAGTTTTTTTGTTTGTGGCTGGAGAAAGAAAGTGAAAGTAAATTTTGGATTAAAATAGAATTTCTATAAAAGTACTTAGACGAATCTTAGAGGGTGGCTTTTTTATTAAATTGCTTTGTTTACTTTTTAATATTTGCTTAAACAATAATTAAAGAAATTTTCTGGTTACAAAACAACTGCAATTGATGATGACTGATTAAAGTAGTGATCAAGTTAAGGGTCAATTAATATAAAAACGAAACAAAGAATGAAAATAAATAAAGACTTTATTTAAAAAAAAAAAAACTTGTAGTAAAAACTCAACTATACAATACAACAACAGTAATAATATAAAATTACAATTTTTATAAATAAACTACAAATTGCAGTATAATAAACATTTGTATTAATGCTCTAATTAGTAAGTAAAATAACAAGTTGTATCTTCTACAATATAAAACAAAAAAGACACTCCAAAAAAAAAAAAAAAAAAAAAAAAAAAAAAAGAAATGATGATGATCTTTCAAGTGGGAGAAGGTATGCCAACTCTAGACAAATTATAAAAATTTGCATATTATAAACAGAAATTAAAAACTCTACTCCGCACACCTTCCCCATTTGGGAAGAAAATAAAACTACAATTCTAACTCGTTGTGTTTTGCGCAATCTTCAGCAAAGAAAAACTACATGAAATAAATGAAAAATACGTTTATAACCAGCAAAAACCATTAAGGATATAAAACTCATTGAAAGAGAAATTAAAAATAACAATTTAATTGAAAATTCTTCAAAAAAAAAAAAAAAAAAAGAAAACACACCCAAACACATTTTAAACGTTCAAGTTCTAATAGCTGCTGCAATTTGTTTTGTAAACAAAATCAAAAAAAAAACTACAACCATCAGTTTACAAGTGGTCCGATCGTCTTGATTGTTATTATACAAAATTTTTTGAAGATCTAGAGGAAAAGCCAAAAAAAAAAAAAAACATCCAGCAGACACTTTTCCAAAAATGAGGCAAGAGCATAAAACAAGCAATTTCGAAATCTTAATAACAAGTGAAAAAAAAATATTCGAAATAAAATGCAAATTTTATTTTCAAACTAAACTAAAAAAAGAGACAATCTCCCATATGTCTGCCCAGTGTTTTGGAATACCACACGGATATAAGCACTCTCTTTTTCAGAAAGAATTTTAAAAATTCATTCTCAAAATTCTCAAGAATACACAAAAACTGACAGACTATAATTAAGCATGAGAACAATTATTAAGGCGGGCGCAGTATTTGTTCAGTTCAGTTCTAGTTCGTTCTGCTCAAGTTCTGTTCCAGGTCTGTTCTAGTTCTGTTTGAGTTCTGTTCTAGTTCTGTTCTAGTTCTGTTTTAGTTCTGTTTTAGTTCTGTTATAGTTCTTTTCTAGTTCTGTTTTAGGTTTCTGTTATAGTCTTTTCTAGTTCTGTATCTAGTTCTGTTCTAGTTCTGTTCTAGTTCTGTTCAGTTCTGTTCTAGTTCGGTTCTAGTTCTGTTCTAGTTCTTTAGTTCTGTTCTAGTTCTGTTCTAGTTCTGTTCTAGTTCTGTTCTAGTTCTGTTCTAGTTCTGTTCTAGTTCTGTTCTAGTTCTGTTCTAGTTCTGTTCTAGTTCTGTTCTAGTTCTGTTCTAGTTCTGTTCTAGTTTTGTTTCCTAGTTCTGTTCTAGTTCTGTTTCTAGTTCTGTTCTAGTTCTGTTCTAGTTCTGTTCTAGTTCTGTTCTAGTTCTGTTCTAGTTCTGTTTCTAGTTCTGTTCTAGTTCTGTTCTAGTTTCTAGTTCTGTCTAGTTCTAGTTCTGTTCTAGTTCTGTTCTAGTTCTGTTCTAGTTCTGTTCTAGTTCTGTTCTAGTTCTGTGTCTAGTTCTGTTCTAGGTTCTGTTCTAGTTCTGTTCTAGTTCTGTTCTAGTTTCTGTTCTAGTTCTGTTATCTAGTTCTGTTCTAGTTCTGGTTCTAGTTCTGTTCTAGTTCTGTTCTATTCTAGTTCTAGGTCTGTTCTAGTTCTGTTCTAGTTCTGTTCTAGTTTCTGTTCTTAGTTCTGTTCTAGTTCTGTTCTAGTTCTGTTCTAGTTCTGTTCTAGTTCTGTTCTAGTTCTGTTCTAGTTCTTTCTAGTTTCTGTTCTAGTTCTGTTCTAGTTCTGTTCTAGTTCGTTCTAGTTCTGTTCTAGTTCTGTTCTAGTTCTAGTTCTGTTCTAGTTCTGTTCTAGTTCTGTTCTAGTTCTGTTCTAGTTCTGTTCTAGTTTCTGTTCTAGTTCTGTTCTAGTTCTTTCTAGTTCTGTTCTAGTTCTTCTAGTTCGTTCTAGTTCGTTCTAGTTCTGTTCTAGTTCTGTTCTAGTTCTGTTCTAGTTCTGTTCTAGTTCGTTCTAGTTCTGTTTAGTTCTGTTCTAGTTCTGTTCTAGTTCTGTTCTAGTTCTGTTCTAGTTCTGTTCTAGTTATGTTCTAGTTTGCTCTAGTTTTGCTCTAGTTTTGCTCTAGTTCTGCTCTAGCTCTGTTCTAGTTCTGTTCTAGTTCTGTTCTAGTTCTGTTCTAGTTCTGTTCTAGTTCTGTTCTAGTTCTGTTCTAGTTCTGTTTCGTTCTGTTCTAGTTCTGTTCTAGTTCTGTTCTAGTTCTGTTCTAGTTCTGTTCTAGTTTGTTCTAGTTCTGTTCTAGTTCTGTTCTAGTTCTGTTCTAGTTCTGTTCTAGTTCTGTTCTAGTTCTGTTCTAGTTGTTCTAGTTCTGTTCTAGTTCTGTTCTAGTTCTGTTCTAGTTCTGTTCTAGTTCTGTTCTAGTTCTGTTCTAGTTCTGTTCTAGTTCTGTTCTAGTTCTGTCTAGTTCTGTTCTAGTTCTGTTCTAGTTCTGTTCTAGTTCTGTTTTAGTTCTGTTCTAGTTCTATTCTAGTTCTGTTCTAGTTCTGTTTAGTCTGTTCTAGTTCTGTTCTAGTTCTGTTCTAGTTCTGTTCTAGTTCTGTTCTAGTTCTGTTCTAGTTCTGTTCTAGTTCTGTTCTAGTTCTGTTCTAGTTCGTTCTAGTTCTGTTCTAGTTCTGTTCTAGTTCTGTTCTAGTTCTGTTCTAGTTCTGTTCTAGTTCTGTTCTAGTCTGTTCTAGTTCTGTTCTAGTTCTGTTCTAGTTCTGTTCTAGTTCTGTTCTAGTTCTGTTCTAGTTCTGTTCTAGTTCTGTTCTAGTTCTGTTCTAGTTCTGTTCTAGTTCTGTTCTAGTTCTGTTCTAGTTCTGTTCTAGTTCTGTTCTAGTTCTGTTCTAGTTCTGTTCTAGTTCTGTTCTAGTTCTGTTCTAGTTCTGTTCTAGTTCTGTTCTAGTTCTGTTCTAGTTCTGTTCTAGTTCTGTTCTAGTTCTGTTCTAGTTCTGTTCTAGTTCTGTTCTAGTTCTGTTCTAGTTCTGTTCTAGTTGTTCTAGTTCTGTTCTAGTTCTGTTCTAGTTCTGTTCTAGTTCTGTTCTAGTTCTGTTCTAGTTCTGTTCTAGTTCTGTTTATGTTCTGTCTGTTCTAGTTCTGTTCTAGTTCTGTTCTAGTTCTGTTCTAGTTTGTTCTAGTTCTGTTTAGTTCTGTTCTAGTTCTGTTCTAGTTCTGTTCTAGTTTGTTCTAGTTCTGTTCTAGTCTGTCTAGTTCTGTTCTAGTTCTGTTCTAGTTCTGTTCTAGTTTCTAGTTGTTTAGTTCAGTTCTAGTTCTGTTCTAGTTCTGTTCTAGTTCTGTTCTAGTTCTGTCTAGTTCTTTCTATTCTTTTCTATTTTCAGTTCTAGTTCTAGTTCGCGACTAATTCATTCCAATTTTATTTCTATACATCACCCTAATATTTCTTTAATTCCACTCCAAACAATATCATCTCGTCTACAGTATATTTTTGAGAACATGTGCTTGTGATGAGTATGATGGGATGAGGTTTTGAATTTTATACAGATTTCGAATATTATTTTAAATATTTTCAATATCCTCAGATCATTTTTAGAAGTCGGTGGTAACGGTTGTTATTTAAATGAAAAAACTTGCTTGCGTGTGGGACAAAAAATGATAACGATTTGTATTATTTGTGTGCAATTTGTTTGTGTTTGGAAAAATTAATTAATTTGTGTGCAATTGCCTTAAAATAACAAATGAGAAAATAAATACAAATTTTTCAATTTCCATGAAGAAAGAAAAAATTAATAATTATTGAAAATTATTGTACAATTGTACCTAATTATTAACGAGAAAAAAAGGCCAAATATTATAAGCATGACTGTGCATGCGGTTTTATTAATATAAAAAATATATATAAAAATTTTTTCATTATTATTTGATTGTGTTGAAACAATTTCTGGAATATAAAATAAATATTTGAAATATATTGTATTTGCCTAAATGTTATTGTGCATATTGTTGTATCGAATAAATGGAAATTTTGATATTTGATTGTTTATTTTAAATCTAAACCAAATGGTATAATATTGCTAATGCTGGTGTTGAAAAATATTGTGGTTGTGTGTTGTTTTTTGTTGTTTTCCAAAAATTAAACAGAAGAAATTTTGGCGAAATATTGGAAAAAAATAATGGAAATTTATTTTAAATCGAAAAATTTATTAAAAGTATTTTAAGTTTTTGTGTAAAAAGTAAATCTAAAATATGGGTTTTAACTATTTACTGTGAAAATGTTAAGGCGGATATCGTTTATGAGCAACTGGGTACGGATATTTGTAGTGTTGCAACTGTTAAATGGGAGGCCTCCATTATAGCAGCCATATCACTTCTGGGCATTATAGTCTACATGATGTGGAAATTTAAATATAGGTGAGTGGTGGAAAACAATTTTCAAAATATTGTTACTAAATTAGTAAAATGTTAATACTACTAAAAAACTTTTTACTTATTTTCAATTCGTATATAAAATATTTAAAATATTTGATATAAAAATTTAAAAAAAAATTTACACTAACTGAACAACAATATTTAGCCAATTAAAGAAAATGACTGGCAAAAAATTCAATATGTATAATAAATAAAAAACTAATGAAATTCCAAATTTTATTAAATCAATATTTTTCGACATTCCCCTCAAATTTTCTATATTAAACATGTGTAAAATCTGTGGACCTTGGCCTAATTATTGTCGGACAAAACAGATCAGCAGGTGTGTGAATAAAAACTCCATTTTCAGTAGATTTACATTTAGAAAATTTGGTGCTTTAGTTTAGTTCTAGTTCTCTAGTTCTGTTCTGTTCTAGTTCTGTTCTAGTTCTGTTCTAGTTCTGTTCTAGTTCTGTTCTAGTTCTGTTCTAGTTCTGTTCTAGTTCTGTTCTAGTTCTGTTCTAGTTCTGTTCTAGTTCTGTTCTAGTTCTGTTCTAGTTCTGTTCTAGTTCTGTTCTAGTTCTGTTCTAGTTCTGTTCTAGTTCTGTTCTAGTTATGTTCTAGTTCTGTTCTAGTTCGTTCTAGTTCTGTTCTAGTTCTGTTCTTGTTCTGTTCTTGTTCTGTTCTTGTTCTGTTCTAGTTCTGTTCTAGTTCTGTTCTAGTTCTGTTCTAGTTCTGTTCTAGCTTCTGTTCCTAGTCTGTTCAGTTCTTTTAGTTCTGTTTTAGTTCTGTTCTAGTTCTGTTCTATTCCATTGTAGTTTGATCTAGTTTTCAGCAAAAATATGTTTCTATGGTAATTGTTTTTAAAACAATATTTTTTTGAAATTTAACAAAATGTTATTTCCCAAAACTTTTAAGAAGAAACAATCTTTATAAATAAACAAAATGGAAATGAACAAATTTTTTAAATTTAGCACAAGATAACAAAACCAAAAAAAGTTTTTTATAAACAAATAAATGAATCTTGAAAACTTTAACAATAATGCAAGAGTTAAAAGATCATAAAATAAAAAATAAAGAAAATAAGAGTAGAATACACAATCTGGAGAAAAAATGAATAAGAAACGAAAAATTCTATGATCACATGTTGTCATTAAATTATTCTCTAAAGGAATTCCCCAAAAAGCCACATGAATGCACAGCAAACAGAAATTACTGAGAATTTAAAAAGTATTAAAAAAGAAAAATAAAATAAACAAACAAATATTAATTATAACAATATTGCATGGATCAGTTCAGCAGCCGTTTTTTTTATAATTTGTTTGACAAACTGTAACACAATGATGAACTAATTATAGCGTCTGCTAATAATATCTAAATCTAGGGAATTCTGTTAATATTTATTTATGAAATTGTTTCAAAAGCAAACTTCGTTTTCATAATTACAATATTTCTTATAAAATATAAATTTTAATGCTTACGAATTTAAAAAAAATTAAAACATATTCTTTGTTCTTAAAATGACGCCTTGGTTCTATTTTACGTATTCATATGTAGTGTTAGTGACGAAACTTTGACTGATGCTGATGTTGACGTTATTAATGATGCTTATACTCATGTGTGCGTGCGCTTTTGTTTATATTTTGTCATTTAAACTTATGGGATCAACTAAAGCCCAACATCATTATGATGTTTTAATTAAAAATCATTAAAATGTTTTAATATAAACAAAAATTTGTTTAAATAATATTTTGAGACATTTGTCTTAGAAGTAGCGAACGACATGTGTCTTTTTATGATTTTATGATCATTATTAATAAAATACTTTTAATTAATATTTATTTTTTGTTCTGGAAACAAAAAAGTTACATTTATGAGACAATCGTAGACAATGTGGTAAAAAGGTAATATCTTTATGCGGGTTGAATTATTAAGCCTAAAACTAGGCTAGGAATATTAACTGGGAGCACCAAGAATTGAACTAGACAGAACAGAACTAGAACAGAACTAGAACAGAACTAGAACAGGACTAGAACAGAACTAGAACAGAACTAGAACAGAACTAGAACAGAACTAGAACAGAACTAGAACAGAACTAGAACAGAACTAGAACAGAACTAGAACAGAACTAGAACAGAACTAGAACAGAACTAGAACAGAACTAGAACAGAACAAGAACAGAACTAGAACAGAACTAGAACAGAACTAGAACAGAACTAGAACAGAACTAGAACAGAACAGAACAGAACTAGAACAGAACTAGAACAGAACTAGAACAGAACTAGAACAGAACTAGAACAACTAGAACAGAACAGAACAGAACAGAACTAGAACAGAACTAGAACAGAACAGAAGAACAGAACTAGAACAGAACTAGAACAGAACTAGAACAGAACTAGAACAGAACTAGAACAGAACTAGAACAGAACTAAAACAGAACTAGAACAGAACTAGAACAGAACAGAACTAGAACAAACTAGAACCGAACTAGACAGAACTAGAACAGAACTAGAACAGAACTAGAACAGAACTAGAACAGAACTAGAACAGAACTAGAACAGAACTAGAACAGAACTAGAACAGAACTAGAACAGAACTAGAACAGAACTAGAACAGAACTAGACAGAACTAGAACAGAACTAGAACAGAACTAGAACAGAACTAGAACAGAACTAGAACAGAACTAGAACAGAACTAGAACAGAACTAGAACAGAACTAGAACAGAACTAGAACAGAACTAGAACAGAACTAGAACAGAACTAGAACAGAACTAGAACAGAACTAGAACAGAACTAGAACAAACTAGAACAGAACTAGAACAGAACTAGAACAGAACTAGAACGGAACTAGAACAGAACTAGAACAGAACTAGAAGAGAACTAGAAGAGAACTAGAACAGAACTAGAACAGAACTAGAACAGACCTAGAACAGAACTAGAACAGAACTAGAACAGAACTAGAACAGAACTAGAACAGAACTCGAACAGAACTAGAACAGAACTAGAACAGAACTAGAACAGAACTAGAACAGAACTAGAACAGAACTAGAACAGAACTAGACAGAAACTAGAACAGAACTAGAACAGACCAGAACAGAACTAGACAGAACTAGAACAGAACTAGAACAGAACTAGAACAGAACTAGAACAGAACTAGAACAGAACTAGAACAGAACTAGAACAGAACTAGAAACAGAACTAGAACAGAACTAGAACAGAACTAGAACAGAACTAGAACAGAAACTAGAACAGAACTAGAAACAGAACTAGAACTGAAGTAGCACTGAACTAGAACAGATTTAGACTTAAAATGGAACTGAAGTAAATTAATTTATTTTGAAATTATTAAAAAATTTTTATTTTTTTGTAAGCTTTTTACCATATTTTCCTTTTATTCTGCAAATATACATTAATTTTTCTGTGTTTTTAAAATAAACAAATGCATTGAGAAAAAACATAAATTTTACTCGAATTTCATTCATGCGATTACAGTGTGAGATATTTGTCGGTTATAATTAAGTGTGAAAACCTGCTGCGATATTTTCAGTTTTAATTAAATTAAGGAAAATGTGCAACAACGTATGCAATTACTAATGAAACTTAATGAAATTAGAAAAAAAAACAAGTGTCAGAATAAGTTTTTTTTTTTAAAGGAAATTCAAAGGAAATGTTCTATTTTATTTAAAAAAACATCCATAAATTTTCCTAAAATAATATTTGTATTTCCCTTTGTTCACACCTCGTAAATTAAAACTAAAATCAATAAAATTTACAATATTTTTTTATTATCTACTCGTGTTGCATTTAATGAGCTTTTTTTATTGAAAAACTTCCTTTCAATTAATTTCTTCACACTAAACTCCAATATGCGCCCGCATTAAAATCGAAAAAATACCATAAAAACTTGAGTCATAAAATATATCTAAATGCTCTAAAAATCTAAAAAATGCATTATTAACAGAAAAAAATTAAATCAAATAAATGTGTTAAATGCACTTGATTAAGGCAATAATTTTTATTTTTTCTCGTAACTTGATAAAATTAAATTTAGAGAAAATTTGTTTATAAAAATGCATACGGAAACATGTTTCAAATAAAATTTATAGTTTCTTAAGAAAATAACAATAAAAATTCAAAAGAAAATATTTATTTTCAAATTTCCGAAATTATTTAGAAATTTATTTTTAATATTTATTAAAAATTTTTTTTTGGTATTTTAAACTTTCATTAGGCGTACTTCCCCACTGTTATTTTTTGACCCTAAAATAGTTTTTTGTTATTATTTTATTTCAAATTAAACACTTTCCTTCATTAATCTGCCTGCCCCTCCTCAAGACCCTACCATTAAGCGCTTGTAACACTTAAAGAAACACGAACAGAACCCACTACCAAGCGACATCATACAGAAACACTTCCGTGTACTCAACAGGAATTTGTCTGATCAATTACAATTTCCCAAAACACTTGAACGCGAACGACGGACGACCGTCTATTTAAAAGTGCATATTTTGAAACAATCATAATGAGCGAGAAAAAAACACATAAACCAAACAACTCCATTAAAATTATTTTTTAAAATAAAAAAAAATTTGGTTGCTATTTATAGTCATACGCATTAATAAATAAAGTAAAAAATAATAAAAAACATTTAATTTAGCAGAGATGGGTGCTGCAAATGCAAAAAGTACTATTTATGAAGATATTTTTACATGACAACAGATGTAGAAAAGAGAGAAACAGAACTAGAACAGAACTAAAACAGGACTAGAACAGAACTAGAACAGAACTCGAACAGAACTAAAACAGGACTAGAACAGAACTCGAACTGAACTAGAACACAACTAGAACAGAAGTAGAATAGAACTAGAACAGAACTAGAACAGAACTAGAACAGAACTAGAACAGAACTAGAACAGAACTAGAACAGAACTAGAACAGAACTAGAACAGAACTAGAACAGAACTAGAACAGAACTAGAACTAGAACAGAACTAGAACAGAACTAGAA